ACTAAGGCTACTAAATGTTGAATTTTGCCGGTTTTAGTCTGTCTCACTCCTATTGATACACTCCTGATAACATGTTTAGTGTATAAAAATGATTAATGTATCTAACAGGTTTATTTTTGAATTATGATTTCAAAATGGAGTGCTTAAAAGTGCTGGGTTTACCTAAAAGCGGACCGTTCACAATCATCAATATCAAAAACGTGCAAACTTCACACTTTTACATTATCTTCCTACCCCAAAATTGTACAACGTAAAATACCAATGTATTTTGTTAAAAAACTACTCAATACACACCAAGCTTCAATGAGCTACATAGTGTATTTATTAGGAAATTGTGAATCAACATTTACTTGTATAAGTGTAAAATCATAGTGTGTAAGATTGCCTCCCCCCACACACTGCTCACACCCCTGCGCCAGCATGTAGTTTGTTTGTACACTGATATTGTTGACAATTGTGAATGGCCCCTGAGTAACTCGGGTAACATGTTGAGATAGTTCTAGCATCTTGTCTCCATCTAGGAGTGAGTGTCCAGCAAGCAGCCAGCAGGGTTCTCCTTAGGCTTTAACGCATGTTGGGTTCAACATGCCTTCAAAGCTGAGGCTAATTTGTGACATTCTGTAAATCCTCTGACATTCCTTAATTTCCAACTGTCTCTGCTTTTGAAAACCTCAACACGATGTGTTTTCACAGCTTGATGTATCCGTTTCCAAACTTACTGATTGAGTTTACCTGCGTATTGGGGCTGCTTATGACACACGCGTAATGGACTCAAATTGGTACAAGCCCCCTCCCAGGGCCCTTCCGCATCCGTCCATAAATGACATGAATGCCTTTTATAATTCCTGATTGAGAACCTTGGCTAGGTATATATGGCAACGTGTGCTTGTCGTCTTGCAGCACCTTCGTCTGTCCGACCGAGATCATTGCGTTCAGCGAGCGTGCAGCGGAGTTCCGTGCGATCAACTGCGAGGTCGTTGCTTGCTCCGTCGACAGCCATTTCTCGCATCTGGCATGGTGAGATACGACCGGATGAATGCTGTGGCTGTCCAGGGATAGAAGAGAGTTTAGATGTCATTCCCCCCCTACATGTATTTTCTGCTGATTAAACAAGTTATTTTAAATGTGTATTATGTATAAAAAACTTGCTAATTTAATTATTTACTCAAAGGATTCGCCTTCAAAACTGACTACGATAAAGCCACAACCTGTCTTATATTACCTAATTGTCTTCTAAATTTGGGGTAATTTTGTATCAAATATAAAATTTTAGTGATGATTAAGTTGTTAAAATTGATATTTTAGTGTCATGTGCTTAAAGTTTACAGCTACACAAGTTAGATAATTTGACGAATTCCTGCATATGAAAGACTGCATAACACGATTTCGACCAGACAGCTGTTCTCATTTATTCTTGGATGCAACTTTCAGGGTGAACACACCTCGCAAGCAGGGAGGCTTGGGAAATATGAACATCCCCATCGTGTCGGATCTGACCAAGAGCATCTCTAAAAACTATGGCGTGCTGTGCGAAGAAGTAGGCGTTGCTTTCCGGTAAGTCGGCCATTAGACTACTGTACAAGGTTCTGTCCGTGTGACAGAGTAACCAAAACTGGCCAATAAATTATTCAAATAATTAATCGGTGAAAGTACATGGTGGATGAATGTGTATGAATGTAGGACATGGTGTATAAATAAATCATTGAAAATGAGAGTGTTACCTAATCTTAATCGACGGAAAGAGTAGTAAGAGTCTATCGTATGATGTGTCACACCTCAGTGTGTTTTTGTTTCCAGTGGCTTGTTCATCATCGATGATAAGGGGCGGGCTCGCCAGGCCACCGTTAACGACCTGCCGGTCGGCCGATCGGTGGACGAGACTCTGAGGCTTGTGCAGGCCTTCCAGTTTACGGACAAGCACGGAGAGGGTGAGCAGACTAGTCAAAACTTGTTGTCATGTGATTAACCTGGGCCTTTGGTTGTCAGAAACAAAATTTGCCAATAACTTTGGCAACTAATTCCATTTAAGTTGGCATGTTTAGTAGCGAAGTTCTTCACTCGATTATACCTCGACACGAATTATTTGGCAAAGGAGCGATCGAGAATCGCTTTACTATTTGTACGTCTTTAACCGAAAAAGCTTTGTGGTCATACAGGTGATGGCAGTGATTTTATGTAGACCTGATACACTAGTCTACATGCAAAATTGCAAACTGGTAATCCCATTCACTGACTACACGACACACTACTACAGTCAAAACCAAAGACCAGGGGGCCGGTGTCAGAAGCAAAATATGAACCTTTTCTTATAGATCATTGACAGAAACATGGTCAAGTTATAGAGCAGGACGACGCCCGAGAAGGTATATCCTATACTAAGGGAGGGGCGCGGAGCTATAGCCTACACACGCCAGGGAGACACACTGCCAACCCACGAACTCGCGCCGAGCCGCGGAGCACACGACTGGGAGAGACAGAGACGGCTACAATATTAACCCGTAGAATAGCTAAGAGAAGTTAATTTAGTTTATTTATCTATTATTTGTGGTTTTTAGAAAGATATTGCAGGTCCTCTTTAAGAGAAGTTATATAAGAGAAGAATATTAAGAAAAGTTAAACGTGTAATCACCTAACGAGGTAACGTAAACGTGACACGAGCAATATATATTATATATATCTATACGCTATATTTGAGATACGTGCAGTAAACGTTATTCCTGTTATTCGTATATGATGAATAAAACCATCAGTTGTATAAAGACTATCTAAGGACTTGCGTTCATTTTACTCTGGGGTTTTTCTTGCTACTGCATCACCGTCCTACCTTAGCGGTAGGAGCGGAAAATGATCCCGACACAAATAAATTACACGTGCTAACCACAGCACATGTGAAAGTCCGGTGTGGCCACCCCTAGGGCCACTGCATTATAGTAGTTAAATGAGAAAAAATATTCTGATCTGTTATTAGTTAGTACAGGCCTATCAAACAAAAGTACAACGTGATAAATCTGGTATTGATATAAATTGGCGGCCGGCGGCCGCTTTTACGTCGTACGAAAACTAGCTTAGCTCTGAAATATGGCGGCCCCCTTGAATTTTAACTCGCCAAAGAATTTACTTGTTTTTGAACAATCGTCATTTTCCAACGAGAAATCGAGACATAAAACAGTGATTGGTGATCACTATTTTAACTGTGCCGTCGAGGTTTGTTCCCCAAATGTTGCTCAAATTCCAACTACTGTCACAGCGTCTCTCTCACCGAGTTCATACTACATAGTCAGGAATCTACCTCTGTCCAGGTTGATTGACAAGGAGTTCATAGAAGCCTTTGTGAGAAATGGTGCATTTTATGCCGTATCCTTGAATACGCGCATCGATGTAGCCAATTCTGTGGCAGTTTTACCAACAGGTGAATATTACTGGTTTTATTCATGCGGTGTTTACACAGGTGAGACTGTGAGTGTGAGTCACAGTATTTAGTAATCGTGTTCATTGTATTAAAAAGTAACTCACGGAAAGTTACACTGACTGTAATCTGAATCTGTATCATTTATAGCACTTTGTCACACAAAAACTAACTAACTGTGTGGGTGGGAAGTTGAGCCATCACTATAGTCCTTTAGACCATGCTGACCTCTCAGCTGACACTGCTCACTGCTTGAAGGCTTAATGCAATAGTGCTTTTTACATTTCAATTAGGCATTACTAGAGACGGGCCTGTCATTTGATGTAGTTACCCAAGCCAATGTGAGATTCACAGTTTCTTTGTTGAGAGCTAGGTTTTTACACCTTGAAAAATCCACTATGATAGGCAATTGGTATTTTTTGTGGAGCAAATTTTCATTGAGCATTTTTCATCTAACCAATGTTTTTAATGTTTGCAGGAAAATTGGTGTTGTCTGTTGACAAAGACATGTATGAAACGCTGGGGCTGGAAGGCCGAAGATCCATTTTTAGCCAAACAAGAGAGAGAAAGTTTGTGATTGAGGTGGAACTCACAAAACCTTCATTTACTCCGGGCAAGAAAAACTACGAGCGAACTAAGTGGTGTTTCAGTGAGCGGCTCAATCTTAGGTGCCTAATCTTTATCAACTTGAAATCATATAGTGTTCATTACCACCAACCAGATAATATCGCATGCCACCGCATTCGGTGTGAATCCATAGAAGCATTCTAAAGATTTTAATGATTATTGATCTATTTTTATGATTTAATATTAAATACGTTACTAAGTTCAACTATGTTGTTTTGCAATGTTTATATACAAGTTAGGCCTACTGTTAGTAATAATACATACATGTATACAATAGTGATTCGTACTCCCTGAAATACTGTTCTGTTATATATCTGTATACTATGTATACTTTACTATATCTGTGTCATTCTCAATTTTTTGCAGTAGTACACTAGGTGCAAAACAGTCTCGTTTCCTTTTCAGGTTTGACTTTGTTTTCACGTGGGTACCCCACGACAAGTCGATATGCTCGTCCTCCGTGGGAAAGTACTTCAGCGGCATGGGTCTGTCTGTATCATCATGTAGAGCACAGATGATGTCCAATACAATGAAAGACGTTTGTGTCCCCGACCTGTTGGCATTAAATATTTTAGAAAACAGCCAAGATTTATTCGAGTGGCTTGGAGCTGTATCATGTTATATTGGTGAGTGCTAAGTACATACAGATATTAATTTATTTGTGCATAAATCAGCGGCTTCTCTGTGTGTGAGTGCGTGTGCGTGTGCGTGCGTGAGTGTGTGAATATAGGTATTCGTGCCTTAGTCAAGACGATCTTTGAATTCAAAATAAGATTTCATCAATCATCTCTTGATATCGTGTATACACTTTTTCTTCAATATATATATATTTATTTATTTATAACATGAATTGGTTTCAGATAGTGAAGAAGAAGCAAGCAATGATTTTGTAAGCATGTACACCACACCTAGTCCATGCAATATTTGCACACAGTTAACTCATGCAAAGTGGCAAGGGTTTTTCACACCAGAAGCTATAGCAATGGTCATCGATGAAATCAGGTTTGATATAGAGTGGAATTTTTTTTATAGAAAATCTAAAGGAAATTATTGGCATAGTAATCATTCTCTTACATGGAGTGTAACTAATTTTGCATTTCATATAAATGATTTTTGATAAGTTGGTTTATTGATGTTTTATTAGGTTGCAATTATGTTAGAGAATATAGATTTAGATGTATATAGTTTGTCGAGCCAAAATCTAAACAGTGAGTGTTAGCATATGGTCCTAAAGGCAAAAGTTACTTATTTATATGCTGTAGTGTAGATAGAAAATGTTAAACTCAATGATAATGCTATGAAAAATGCTACTACAAATAGAAGATTTCACGATAAATCCTAATATGTAAGTTCATTTTCTGTGATAAACCCTATCGATGCCTTTATATTCTGTGGGCGTGTATGAATTTAGCGAAGGAAAGCTATTGTGATGGCAAACTGTGGTGTGGCTTTCAGGTTGTATTTGAAAACGCCAGACCATCCACCGTGGGCCAGCGTAACAGTGCATGGGTATGCTGACTCCCCTGTTAGCTGGAGAGGAAAAGAGCATGGATATCATCAAGGTGGTGAAAATATATACACCTACATTGTCTTTCCAAATGACAATTATTGGCTTTACATGGCTGTTGGCTCTCATGATGTCTGTCCATGAAATATAATTATATTTTTTAAATTACTAGCGCCTACAATTAAAAATATGTTAAAAAAGTTCTATCTGCCTTAGTCACCCGATGAATACTACGATACTAAGGCAACATGAACAACGGGGAAGAACAGGAACAGGACAACCAACCCCAAGGGGGTAGTTCACAGGAGGATGGAGCTACTAACCAAGGGGGAGGAGACACCCGTGATAGGAAAATGACTGCCAAAGGATCGGAGTTCATAAAGGAGACGAGGTTAAAAAATCGCACAGGTCAAATTAAACGAATGAATAAGCTGCAGGATTCAATCGATGCACTGATACGAGAGGGGGAGAAGATTGGGCTCGTCAGAGAGCAATACTCGCAATGGCTCCAACTCTACGAGGTCTTCTGTGACGACCACATATCCTACTCAGACGTGTTATCGGAGAAAGGAAGGGAGACGGATTACTGGTCAACATACAGGGAACAGGACGACAGGTGTCGTGGATTCAAAAAGAGGACTCAAGACTGGATCATGGCGGAGGAATCGAGGAACACCCGAGAAATGGGTAGCGTCTCATCTATATCGGCTATGTCGCCCATGGCCACAAAGCGGGCTGAGGAAGCTCTACGAATCGCTGAGTTGTCCGTCCGTAAGGCCGCTCTCACAAAAAGGCAAGCGCTGGCCCAAGAAAAGCTCCGACTTCAACTTCAGGAGGAAGAACTCGAGTTTGAAACGGAGATGGCCGCAGCTAGTGCGAAAGTTAAGGCTTTAGACATGGCGATGCTGGAGGATCAAAAGCAAGAAGGAGATCAGAGTCAGGCAAGTTATACACCACGTATGGCGATGGTGGAGGATCAAAGTCAAGGCTATGTGAAGCCACCAGATCGATCAGATTTAGTCGTAACAAGTGTTCGAAGACAGGATCGGCGCAACGAGCTGAAGGATATCAGAGGGGATCTACGACTCGACGCCACAGTCCAAGTGTTTCAGCAGACGCATGCTACGTACGATCGAGACATTGCATATCAGCCACACCTAAAGTCCTCACCACCCGAAGAAGCAATGATAGCCATGATTCGGGAAGTCAAAAAACCTCAGTCCGATATCAAGAAATTTGCAGGCGATCCGCTCGAATATAGAAGGTTTATCAGACAATTCGACGTCGGACGATCAAAGGATGAACTTTCTCGAACAGTTTACTGTGGGTGAAGCGCATTGCATAGTTTCGGGGTATGGATGCCCTGATGCTAATCGTGGATATCCGGCTGCCTTGGTAGAATTAGAGGAGAGATATGGCCAGTCAGATAGAATCGCCAATGCATACATAAAGAGGGCGCTGAGCTGGCCCAACATTAGAGTCGATAGCCCAAAGGACCTCGATGACTTCGGAATCTTCCTTGCCGAATGCGGCAATGCAGTGGATAGCATGGACGCTCTGAAGATCTTAGAGTATCCCGACAACCTCATGAAATTGGTGGGAAAGCTACCGTTCTACCTTCACGACCGGTGGAGGAACATCGTCTACAGCAATAGGGAAAAGGGGATGACCGTAGGGTTCAACGACCTATGCAAGTTCGTTAAGAAGGAGGCCGCCAAGAGCAATGATCCAATCTATGGGCGCGATGCCATGGTCAAAAGAGATAGCGGCAGTAGCATGCAGAGCCAACAGAAGACGAGGGAAAGGCACGCCCGAGGAAAGGGTACCTTCGCCACTGTCGGCAGCCATTCCGACGCGGCAAGACTAAGTTCTAGTCCCGGCCAGGGCAAACGAGAATTCAGCTGCATCAACTGTGGAAATCCCAAGCATGGAGTCGATACCTGCGAAAGTTTCAAGGCTCTCTCAGTAGAAGACAAGTTCGAAATCGTCAAGGCCAAGGGGGTTTGTTTCGGATGCCTCAAGACTGGTCATAGGAGTCAAGACTGTCACCAGAGAGCCACGTGCAAGACGTGCGAGCAGCGCCATCCTACACTCTTACATCGAGAGAGACGCATGATTGCAAAGGAGGAGCCCGGAGCTACATCAGCCACGTTGGCCAGCTGCTCGTCAGATCTATCTTGTCGCACAGGGGCCGGCGAAAGCTTATGCACCATGGCAATCGTTCCAGTAGTCGTAAGATCGAAGAAGACTGGGAGGGCGATCGAAACGTACGCCTTCCTTGACCCAGGGAGCAGCATATCATTTTGCACCGACAATCTAAGACAGCAACTGGGCATCGGAGGCCGCAAGGCAAAGATCACACTGAACACAATGAGAGCCCAGCATACCATGGCAACATATGTCCTGACAGGCTTGGAAGTAGGAGACCTTGACGGACAGCACTCGGTGGATCTACCCTGCGTCTACACCAAGGAGATTATGCCGGTGAGGAGAGAACACATACCAACGAAGGAAGACCTCCAAAAGTGGGAACACCTACAAGACTTGCCGTTACCTCAAGTTGAAGGAGAAATCGGCTTGCTTATCGGAAACGCGGTAGCGGACGCCTACATGCCGTACGAGCACGGTAAACGACCGGCTCGGGACTATTACCGGTCCACGGGGTAGCCCCCATGCCGTGAGAACCGCCATAGGCTGGATCGTCTGGAATGTCGTCCGTCACAATGGAAGCGAAATTAGTAGCGGAAGACCAGTCAATAGAGCAGAGCTTGCAGCAATACAGGACATGGAACAGGTCGGAAGAATGATGGCGAGGACGCTCGTGTACGACTTCCCGGAGCAGTTTGACGAGGACCGGCTTGAACCAAGCCAAGAAGACAAGCTGTTCATTAAGTTGACTTCCGAGACAACACGTTTTCACGAGGGTCACTACGAGGTTGGACTTCCGATAAGGGATGATGGAAGGAAGCTCCCCGACAACAGGAACCCAACCATGAACCGATTACAAGGGCTGCGGAAGAAGCTGAAGGGAAACCCAAAGTTCTACAAGGACTACAAGAACTTCATGACGGATTTGATGGAAAAAGGCTACGCGGAACCAGTCCCGGATGAAGTTATGAGTCGAAAGGATGGAAGGGTGTGGTACATCCCACATCACGGCGTGTACCACCCCAAGAAGCCTGACAAGATTCGCGTAGTCTTCGACTGCTCAGCAAAATTCTCTGGCGTCTGTTTAAACGACATACTACTACAAGCACCCGATCTGGCGAACAGCCTCGTCGGCGTACTTCTGAGATTCCGTCAAGACCCAGTAGCCTTCATGGCGGACATAAAAGCCATGTTCCACCAGGTCAGGGTTCCCACCAGCGACAGGGACTACCTCCGATTTTACTGGTGGCCTAACGGAGATATGGAGAAAGAACCTGCGGAGTACAGAATGACTGTACATCTGTTCGGAGCAGCGTCGTCGCCCAGCTGCGCAAACCTAGCGCGTAAGAAAACTGCAACGGATAGTCGTGATGAGTACGATTCAACCGTCACGAATACAGTCGTTAGGAACTTCTACGTCGACGACTGTCTCAAGTCTGTCTCCGAGGAGGACGAAGCTATGATCCTTGCACACAGTCTGAGGAAACTGCTGAAAGATAGAGGATGGGAACTGACGAAGTTCGTGAGCACTAGCCGGAAGCTCTTGGAGTCGATATCTCACGAGGAAAGAGCAAAGGAAATAAGGGAATTGGATTTCGATAGAGAAACCCTACCAGCGGAGAGGGCTCTCGGAGTGTATTGGACAGTAGAAGAGGACACTCTGGGGTTCAGGACTCTTCAGGACCAGAAGAAAACGACCAAGAGAGGGATCTTGTCGATGCTGAGTTCGATATTCGACCCCATGGGCCTCCTAGCACCATTCATCTTCACAGCTAGGTGTATCTTACAAGAGCTCTGCCGACAGAAACTCGGTTGGGACGATCCCGTTCCGGAGAAGATACTGGAACGTTGGAACAAATGGCTGAACGACCTGGACAAAATAATCGACTTCAAAATGAACAGATGTCTCAAGCCGCCGAGTTTTGGGCACATCAAACAAGCACAGCTGCACCACTTCAGCGATGCGTCTGAAATGGGTTATGGTACAGCATCTTACCTCCGCCTTACCAACGAAAGGGACCAACTACACTGTGCCTTCCTGCTAGGGAAATCACGAGTCTCCCCACTCAAAAGGCAGACGATTCCTCGTCTAGAGTTGACAGCAGCAACGGTCGCAGTTAAGATGAACAGGATCATCGTTAGAGAGTTGGAAATCCCGATCGATAGCACAATCTTTTGGACAGATAGCACGACCGTTTTGGGGTACATAGAAAATCAGACCAGCAGATTCCGCACCTTTGTGGCGAATAGAGTTGCCATCATACACGATGGATCAGATGTAGCACAATGGAGATACGTCAACACAGAGTCAAACCCTGCGGACGATGCATCAAGGGGTCTTGGTGCGGAAGCGTTTACCGTAGGAAACAGATGGAGTGCGGGACCAGACTTCCTATGGAAGAAGGAAGACAGTTGGCCGATACGACCTAAGTTGGCTCCAACGTCGTTGGTTAATGACCCAGAAGTAAAAGCGGACAAAGACAAGGTGGTCAGTGCGACCATAGGAAGCACACAGTCGTCTTTCCTTGACTCGATCATTGAGAACTACTCAGATCTGCATAAGATGACATCAGTCGCTGCCAGAGTCGTTGATTGGGTAAACAACCTGAGACGTGCAGCAGCATATCGAAAGGAACTCATTGGGCAGGATCAACTGGACGTTGACAAGGAAATGAAGAGATGGCGAGAGGAAAACTTCTCCAGAGACACTGGGTGCATTCCTCTGACAACAGAACAACGCCGTAAGGGCGAGGAAGCTTTAATCCGGCATGAACAAAGGAAGCACTATCCCATAGAGCTAAACGGTCTGGACGGCATGGGAGGCCATAAGAAGAAGAGTACTATCCGACAACTGGACCCGTTCGTAGAAGGTGGTATCTTGCGTGTCGGAGGCCGTTTGAGAAGATCAAGTCTAAGCGAGGCAGCTAAGCACCAGTACATTATACCCAGAGTCTACGCTTGCAGCTCGCTTGCTGGAGAATGCGCACAAGACGGTAGGTCACTTGGGGAGAAATAGTGTCCTGGCGAGCCTACGTCAGAGATACTGGATACCTGGGGCCCCAAGCGCCGTCAGAAAATTGGCCAAGAGATGTGTCATCTGCCGTTCATACTCAGCGAAGGTATGTCAACAAAAAATGGCAGACCTGCCGAAGGACCGTCTTACAGCCGACGAGCCAGCCTTCTCTAGAACCGGAATAGACTATTTCGGTTCTTTCGAAATTAAGCGAGGACGTAGCACGGTCAAGCGCTGGGGAGTGATATTCACTTGTCTAGCCATTCGTGCCATCCACATCGAGATCGCCCACAGCCTAGACACTGACTCTTCTATTAATGCAATACGAAGGTTCATCGCTAGGAGAGGTGGAGTGAAGGTTATCAGAAGCGACAACGGCACCAACTTTGTCGGAGCCGAGAGGGAGCTGCGGAAAGCATTGGAGGAGCTTGACCAGGAGAAGATTTCGGCTTTCCTCGCTCATAGACAGATAAATCTGCAGTGGAAATTCAATCCGCCTGCCGCATCACACTTCGGCGGCGTCTGGGAGAGACAGATCAGGACCGTAAGAAAGGTGCTCTTCTCTCTCTTAAAAGAGCAGCCCATGAAGATGGATGACGAGGGAATGCATACCATGTTCTGCGAAGTGGAGGCGATCGTCAACAATCGTCTTCTTATGCCCATGACAGATGATCCGTACGATCTCGAGCCACTAACGCCGAATCATCTGTTAGCGCTCAACTATCAGCAGGCTATACCACCGGGAAAGTTTGAGAAGAACGACAGCTACGTCAAGCGATGCTGGCGTCAAGTGCAATATTTGACCGACGTGTTTTGGAGGCGATGGCACCGAGAGTACCTGCCAACCCTCCAGGAACGCAGTAAGTGGCAGCACTCCGGACGAAATATCGAGCCTGGTGACATCGTTCTAGTAATCGACGACAACTCACCCCGAAACTGTTGGCCTAGAGCACGCGTGATCGAGACCTTCAAGGACGATAAGGGACACGTCAGATCAGCTAAGCTACGTACGAAGAATTCAGAGTTGCATCGGCCGGTTGCGAAGCTTTGTCTCCTGCTGGAAGTGTCGGAGCAGGAGAAACATTAGTGTGATAAAACCGTGGATGACGTGCTAGTAACCTCTCTCCACTTGTGGGTTTTGTTCGAGTACTCAGATAACGGACTAAGCATCTGATTCTAGGTCGGAAATGGACGTTAGTCACGAAACATAGAACATCGGTGCATCTAGAATTATGGACTAACTCGGAAGACTATAACTTTATTGAATGTGAAATTTATTGGTAATTCTGGGATACCCAAAATTAAGGGGCCGGAATGTTGATGCCTGCGAGCATTTTGTTTGTTTAGTTCCCCTGCCTTCCGTCAGGTGGCAGCACGTGTTTGATTAGTTAAGGTAATGCGAAATGGAGGATAGAACAAGGAGAAATGTTTTTCTTTGTTCTAATCCAAATGTAATTTTCCCGCAATAGAACAGACCACAAATAGTCCTGTAAGTATTCTAGAGTATAAGCGTTATATTGGTTAATCCGTTAGGCAAATTTGGTTGTAAGATACCCTGCACTGTTAGTAAGCAACTTTCTATCGAGTTAACGTGCAAATTCTCGAGATCAAGAATTCCTTTGTTGTATGAAGCATGTAACTATGTAGCCCTGGGGGGCCATTATCCTTTTGGTTTAAAAGTGAATGTTATGTTATACCCACGCCCTTATAATCCGGCGCCTCGTTCCTCTAGCCATCTTGGTTTGAATGATGTCTATAGTTTACAATTGTCTTACGATTCTTGTATTTTGTATCATTTTCAGTTAATCGCACACAAACGCTCATAAGCACGCGTTTATAGTAAATAAAGAAGGCGCATCTTTGGACATACATGTGGAATTTCGAACTTTGTAATTAAAAGCCAGGACGGGAGATTATACTTATAGATCATTGACAGAAACATGGTCAAGTTATGAGTTTCTTGTACGCAATGTATATAGGTCCCGTCTACTAGAAAAGGTTAATCGTCAATCAAGCTCAGCACACAAACACGATAGTCACCGCCTTTGCAGCTACATCTATGAATCTATGATGACACATGTAGTGTCAAGGAGATGACACCTGCAGATGTAAATCAGATGCGTTTTCAAGGTCGGACCTGGGCTTCTTACGGTTTTGTGACTGCAAGCTATATATATATAGCGGGATTTTCCAGGATGTGGCGAAAGGTTTGTTAATTGTTGGTTTAAAATATGAAAATATGTACCATTATGTATTTAATTAGTATACGCATTGTTGCACATTTACCTATACGTCACAAGATCGGAACACTAACTTCCGCATATAACATATAATTATATTATACATATACATATATGTATACTATAATACAAAATACCACTACAATCTGAACAATGTGTATACAATTTGTATGTCGTTGATAATACACTCTATATATGGCACGTGATATAACACGTGCTCTCATCGACACTATTGTGTTGCGTACTATTATGGGATATAATTAGCAGCCATTGTCTTTACGACGCAGACAGAATCGGAGCACGGTGCAAACACGTGATTGCCAGTTATGAATAATTTTGTGATAAGTAAATGTGCTTGTATAATGGCACTTTTCGACTTCGGATGATATCACACTAACAGCAATACGTGTGCGGAAGCTATCGAGGTGCGTAACTTGTGGTAGGAAGTTATCATAACCAAGTTTATAAGGTGATAAATTACGGTCGTATTTGTCAGTAAATTGTATCGCAACAACGAGCGTGTACAGTTGTCAGCGGCGCAGACTCTTTGCAACAATCTGTAGTTCGTGGACTTTTACAACCTATCTACAATCACAACGAAGCGCGCGAAAGAGAATGGCTTGATGGACAATCACATCGAAGACTAGAAACCAAGTTCTTATTTTCGCGAACCGAATCACGGTGAAATTCGGCGCAAGATACAAGCTCTTGTTGCAAGCATTTGCAAACTCGCAGCGAATAGCTGTAGATTTCAGTTTCGGAATGTGCGTTTCCAGAGCACCGTAGTAATGATGTAGTGTACGTGTGCGTCCAACTTTGGCTAATTTGCTACGGCCAGACCTCGTCCCTGTGTTGACCACGCACTCAAAAGGACATATCGTTGCCGGAGAATGTACATGGAAGATCAGCACTATATATACCTGTAAAGGATAATACCAAGAGTACATAATAGAGATTATTATGTTCGCTCTCTCTCTCTCTCTCTCGCTCTTTATATACACACACGCACGCACGCACGCACGCACGCACGCACGCACGCACGCACG